GCGAATAAAAAAGATATTTGTGTAAAAAGTCCTGTTAAATTAACTCTTTCTTTACCAAATTATTTAATAATTTAAGTTAAGTTATTAATATTAAGGTAATAAAATGACAACAGGTAAAGATCTTGAGCAGAAATTTAAAAAAGTTTTTAGACATTCTTCTAACCCATTTCCAGAAAATTTCTCGCTAGAGGACAAAGCTCATTACCTTAAGGAAGGAAATAATATGCTAGCAGCACAAGCTGCAGCGCAGAGAGAGGCTAACATTGAGAGTAAGGTCAGTAACATTGCAGAGGCAAATAAGGAAATAGCAAGAAGGAAAGCAGCTCTTGCTGAAGAAGCACGCGAAAATATGGCAATACTCGATAAACGACTGGAGGAATCCAATAAACGAGCAAAAGCTCCGAGTTTATCAAATAATCCAGCAAAGAATGCTTCTGTAGCACAAGAGCAACCAGGAAAGAATGGTACTCCTGCAAAAGAGGTTGCTCAAAAAGTAGATAATGCTGCAGTTAATGCTAATCTTCCAAAAAAAAGTCAAGCTCAAGGAAATAAAGCTCTTGACCAAAGCCAAGAAGATCGTACTAAACAACGAAAAGTTCTTACGAAACAGGCGAATCAAGTAGCAAGTAATCTCTATGACGCGAGCAATGTTCTTGATCGAGTCCAAGAAGCTCGTACTGGAAAAGCACGCTTAAATCCAGAGGAACACAAAGAACAACAAGCACAAGCTCCTGGTTTGTCTAATAATACAGATAAAAGCAAAATAGAAGGTAGGAAAGAAGCTAGTGCTAAAAATTTACAACAAGCACTAAAAGAAATAGATATACTCAATAAAACAATAGAAGTTACTGAGCAAAACAAAAAAGCTCTTGAAAAAATGGTATACAAAGAACTAGAGGTAATGGATAAACAACAATCTACGGATTTGTCTAATAATACAGATAAAAGCAAAATAGAAGGTAGGAAAGAAGCTAGTGCTAAAAATTTGCAACAAGCACTAAGCAACATAGATATACTCAATAAAACAATAGAAGTTACTGAGCAAAACAAAAAAGCTCTTGAAAAAATGGTATACAAAGAACTAGAGGTAATGGATAAACAACAAGCAAAAGCTCCGGATTTATTGAAGAATTTAGGTAAAACAGAATCTCAAGAAAGCCCAAAAGAAGGTAAGGGGTTGTTCAGTAAAGTGATTCAAGGAGCGATTCAAATTGTAACAAGAATGTTCAGGAATGTGCTACCAGAAGAGATTAACGATTATAGAGCTGAGAATAAAGATCATAGTGTAGCTGCTCAAATTGTTCATGGTGACAACACCATTACTTATAATACTTCCTTTATGCATATAAATAAACGGGAATTTAAACTAGAACCAGGAAAAGACTTTCATTATCAGAGTGAGGGTGTTGATATCCGTATTACATACAATACACAGCACACTGTTCCAGGTGCGATGAATCTTAACATCAATGGTACAGAGTATAATATTCAACCTGGTAAATTCGCGAGATATAGAAATCATGGGTTGGAAGTTGATGTGGTACACGTCCGCCAACAGGGTATGGATATAAATCAGAGTCAAGAGGTAGCCGGAAAAGATGTCAAAACACAACAAGCATTAGAAATTTCTAATATAAAAGCAAAAACACCAAAACCTAGTAAAATTCTAGAAAATATAAAAGTAGGAAATTTAACACCTGCTAACACTCCTCATGTTCCAAAAAGTTCATGGCGTGGTACTGTAGTTTAAACC